GGGCAGGGCGGGAGCGTCAAGGTCTTCCCGGCGGGATGCAGGGGCTCCCGCGCTCCGCGGCACCTTCCCGCTTCCCTCGTGGCCTCGCATCCTGGCGGAGCGGCGGAGCGCTCCCAAACCGCCCGCTCGTGCTGCAGCTCTGTCATTCCTTGGAATCCATAGAGCCGTGATTCAGGGCCATGGGTGATAAGGAAATCCGTGCGTACGTGCCCACATGGGGATCAGCAGCAGGCGTTGATAAAGCTCCGCGCTCCCCTCACGGAGCTGGATCCCCTCTCCCTTCGCAGCCCCTCTTCTGAGCCTGAAAAGAGGCCGATTTTCCCCTCTGCCCAGTCTGGTGTTTCAAACGCAGAGTTTGACCAAACGCCCCTATCCCTGGTGATGTTTCCATGTGTTTTAGCCACTGGGGCTTCAGGCTCCTCTCCTGCTCTTTTCCCAGACCGGGATGTTGGGAAAATGAAGCCCCTTTCCCTGAGGGTGCAGCAGGGGGACGGATGTGCGAGTCCTGCCGGGTGCCGGCCGACTCCGCACGACAAATACTAATTAAAATGCTCCGAGTTGGTTGTTTTGGTGACACAAGGGCAGGAGGAAAAGCCCACACAGCAAAACCTCGAGGCAAAGCAGGCGGGGTGACCTAGAGACAGACCAATGGAGGCACTGGAGCCTTGAAATTCTAGTAATTCGGGGCTTTGTGAAAGCAGGAAAAGGCACTTTGTTGGAATTCAGAGGGAAGCACGTGATACAAATTGTGCTTTTTGTGCTGCCTCTGCTGGGGCTCTCCCTCGGAGTTGTTGGAACGACCCAAGGCTTGAAAACGGGAGGCTCTTGTGCGAGCGCTGCCCAAGCAGAAACCCCAAAACACCCGGACAGATGAGTTTACAACCAGCAGGAGCTGCCCTCGTGCTTCAGAAATCTCCCTTGCAGCCCCTTTGCTTTCCAAAACGGGGGGGATTTGGGTAAATTTGCAGGGGGAAACGGGCAGGGTGTTTGCAGCGCGGGAGCCGCTCGCCTGTTGCGCGGCCGCAGCTCCGCGGGAGGCCCGAAGCAGCGGGCAGAAACCTCCAAGCACCGACTATAAATCTCAAAGCAACAGTTACAAATACACAGCACTGGGCAAGCCCTTTCCTTGCTTCCTTCGGGACACATCATTGGGGGAAGGGGCTGCTCCCGGCCTCTGGATAACGGGCAGGAAGCTCCATGCGGGTCGCGCTCATCCAGCTGCCTCTTCCTCATCTTCCTCCAGGGCCTCGGTCCCGAGGAGGAGCCGCCACTTCCCGCAGCGGCAGCTTCAGAGGGTTTTTTGCCGGCGCGGAGCAGGACGAGACGGAACCTGTCGGGCTGCATTTTGCCGGCCCGCTCCGCTGCTCGCCCGCAGCTGGGAGGCTCCCGCCGAGCGGAGGGCGCCACCGGGGCCGGCCTCGCGCCGTGACACATCGTCCCGTGACGGCAGCCCAGCCGGGTGACTCTGCGGCTGCCGGGCCCGCCTGGCGCGGCCTGGGAATCTGTGCAAAGGGAATTGCAACCCGGGCAGGAGGACGGTGGCGCGAGCGAGGCCCGTCCTCTGCTTTAATTTCTTCCTGTTGCCTCTTGCAGGTGATTGAGGACTTCTACAACCGGACCTGGCTGTACCGATACGATGAGCCCATCACCCCCGCCACCCTCACCACGCTCTGGTCCCTCTCCGTCGCTATCTTCTCCGTCGGGGGCATGGTCGGATCCTTCTCCGTGGGGCTTTTTGTCAATCGCTTTGGCCGGTAAGCACCGAGCACGTGGCCCTTCCCCGGGCCGAGCGGCCGCACTCGGCTCCTCCAGCAGCTCCGTCACCTCCTCGCGCCACAGGAGCCAGGAAGGGCCTCGGTGCTTCCTGCCTTGGCCATGAGGCTGTTCCTCCAAACGCTCCGTAACTCGTCGCCGTCGGCCCCAGGAGCTGGCAGGGCTGAGCCTTTCCTGCCAGCCAAGCACCTAGTCAGTCCCCTAATCGCTTCTGTCGGCCTCTTCCGAGCCGTTTCCACGGGGCTGCTGTCCAAGGCTGCGCTGTGTTTTGCTCCTGAGGGCACCGTCTGTCCCGCTGTCCGAGGGGAGCAGCCCCGCGGAGCCGCCCTCGCTGCCTCCGCCGCGTGGGAAACGTTCTCTAGCTCGGCCTCCCCAGCACGCCAGCAATAACCATGCTGGAAGGCCTCTCCCGGGCTGATTTCTACACATTTAGGGTCTAAGGGGGATGCCGTTGTCTCCCAGCTGATGTTTTTCTCCTTTTTGTGTGTCACATAGCTCGGGTGAAGCCAGCAACTGCCTCCGCTTCCCTTGCAGCCTCCCTGCTGCTCTGTTCCTCCCCTGGGGCTCTGGCTGATGCCAGCAGCGGTTGCTCGCGGCCTGCGCCCTCCCTCCTGCCAAGAACCCACGTTTGGGTCCGCGCAGTTAAACAGCGTCTCCCGGGGACCCTTGAGCCTCCCCCTTCCCGGGGTCTTCACCACCTTCCTTCCTGCCTCCCCAGGCGAAACTCCATGCTCATGTCCAACGCTCTGGCCTTCCTCTCCGCTGTCCTCATGGGCTTCTCCAAGATGGCCTATTCCTTCGAGATGCTCATCCTGGGCCGCTTCATCATCGGCCTCTACTCCGGCCTCACCACCGGCTTCGTGCCCATGTACGTGGGCGAGGTGTCCCCGACGGCTCTGCGGGGCGCGCTGGGGACCTTCCACCAGCTCGGCATCGTCCTGGGCATCCTCATCGCCCAAGTAAGTGTCACCTAAGCCCTCCGTGCTGGTCGCAGTGTCGTTTCTGGGGAATCCCGTATGTCCCCCGTGTCGTAACCTGGGGATGTCGCAAGCGGCGGGTTTGGATTCGGTTTGTTGTGGGCTGCGGGAGGGAAAGGACGTGCCCATTCCCGTCGCGTGGTCCAACCCGCCCTGTTCTCAGGTGTTCGGCTTGGACGTGATCATGGGGAACGACTCGCTCTGGCCGCTGCTCCTGGGCTTCATCTTCGTCCCTGCCCTGCTGCAATGCATCATCCTGCCCTTCCTGCCC